AAGACATCTGTTGTCTAAGATACACTTTCATACAAGTCATAGATAAAGGAATAGAAGAAACCATCAAACAGAAGCAATCTTTGGGATTTTGTCTAAAATAATCTTTTCACACTACCATTCCATTAGTACACGTGTAATTATGTTTTTCACAATGAACTTTAGTTTACTATTAATTAATATTATTACTACATATATTAGTCCTCTAATTTTTCAAAAGTCAGTTAAAAATAACAATTTTCATGTTAAGAATTAGTGAATATTCTTCAAACTTCACCCTTTAAAGGTAAAGTGAAAATGATTTTAGGCCTCTAAGTACTAGAAAAGGAGCACTGGTGCACAATGGTTAAAGTAGTGGGCCACCCACTAACAAAGGTTGAGGGTTAAAAACCTGGCGATCTGCTTCTGCAGATTTAAAAAAAAAAAAAAAAAAAAAAAAAAAAAAAACCTCAAACCCACTGCCATCAAGTCAATCCCAACTCATAGCGACCCCCATTGAGTTTCCAAAGCTTTAAATCTTTATGGAAGTAGATTGCCTCATCTTCCTCCCATAGAATAGCAGGTGGGTTTGAACCCATGACCTTCTGGTTAGCAGCCAAATGCCTTACCCACTACACCATCAGAGCTCCTTCTTTTAAAGATCACTACCTGGGAAATCTTATGGAGCAGTTCTACTCTATTCTATATGGTTCCTATGCATTGGAATCGAATCAGTTCCACAAGAAGAAGTCACAGACAATATTTTTTTGGTTTAAAAAATATTTATCAAAATTATATTTGTTTATTTTGTCTCTGACACATGTTTGTTTTATTTTATTTTAAATTACATTTCTCCGGTAATCTTTACCTTGTCAACACATAAACACAGACACTGTGAACCCTAACGTTAGTATATCAATAGTATATTTTATGTATTTCTTATTTAAGTGCATGAAAAATCACAAGGAATTCAAATACAGTTTCATTTTTGGCATGATTTAATAAAGAGAAATAATTTTCAACCCCAATTTGCCACTTTGTGGTATCATTATGATATCAGAGAAGAGACATAAAGTCACTTTCTCCATTTTATTGGTTTTGGAACAATAAATTATTCAATTCAATCAGTGATCATATCATTGGTATAGCCAAATTTCCATAATTTATAAATTATTTATTTATTTAATTGCCAATAGTTTTTCTTAAAATGACCTGTTTATGGGATCTCCAGGAACTTAACTCTTTCAGGTTATCCATTTATTTAAAGGCTAAAAATATTAGAGTTTCCTGTTCTTCTTATCCAGTTATCCTCATATAAAGACATTACCCCTGACAGTTAACTGTTCTGTTATGTACCATCAAGTCGGCCCTGACTCATAGTGACCCCTTCTTGAGTTTCTGAGGCAGTATCACTACAGAAGTAGATTACCCAGTCTTTCTTCCAAGGAGTGGCTGGTGGGTTTGAACCGCCAGCCTTCTGGTTAGCCTTCTGGTTAGCAGTCAAATGTCTTAGGCACTATGCTACCAGATACTAAGCACATGTATAACAGCTATGAAATCAGTTGAGAAATTGACTTATTTTTTTTTAATTCAAATTGCAGGTAATTTTACTGTCTCCTTAGAAAAAGCCTCAAATCTCCAAGATAAAGAATAGGAGACATTAAAACCACCTTAAACAGTTTAGCTCTGCAGTCTTGTTCTTTTGGGGAGATTAAGTATAATGACTATCTCTTAAGAAACAGTAACAAAAGATAAAAAGTCAGTATCTGGGGTGTGCTCATGCCTCTTTAGCACAAGATATAATAAAAATGCAAAATGCTTACTTTTTTCATGTTAATATTTCTTTATTGTTTGACCTATTGCTTGCTTATATATCATTTATTTATTTGTTTGATTTATTATATTTGACTTATATTTAAAAAACAAGAAACATGTTTACCACATAAATTCATGAATCAATAAAAATCAATTTCACATTTATGATTTTATACACACAAATACAGAGATACAGAGTTCTACATTGTTATATTATGGATATAGAAGGAACATTACCAAATTTCTGACAATCAGTTTAAACTGTTAATGTAAGAGTTCTCTTAAATTACACCTAAATCAAACTGTGAAGCAGACAAGTTGGTCTTTGATAACTTTTTCTTTGTAACTAGAGATATGCATACATGGATATAAATGTTTTCATCAGCCAATGGATTTCATAGGAAATCAAGGTTGGGCATCACATAGTGCAAATTAAAGTTGAATTTTCATGATAATATACTCAACAAGTATATATCCAGCCTGCATTGAATAATTCTGGTGACAACTTATTACCCCAAGAGGCATCTGATTTCATATTTAAATACTTTCACTCCCTTTGAGTGAGGACTTCTTTTTGAGTTGAGTTCTGCTCTCATTGATTTATATGCACAGAGTTGACCCTATCCCTGGGCCCTAATAAAACAACTCCAGTCTCTGTGCTGCAAAACATCCTTCACATATTTGATAACAGACATCAAGTATCTTCTGAAGTATTTGTCTTCATGATAAACAACCATATTCCTTCACATGCAATCCATATAAAATGTTTTTAGTTCCTTCCTCATCTTTTTCAATTGGTCTACTTATTCATAAGGCCTCTTTTCTGGCTAGAACATATTTTGAAGTATCTACTCTTGAGGTTATATTTATTTATCACAACCACAAATAATCTCCATTTTCCTAACATGAATGATGACCTTACAGATAAAAATTATATAAGTCATAGTAAGATTTTTTTTTTTTTTAATGTTGAGGAATTCAACATGAATATAAATGTAAACTTGAAGAAAAGAAGAATGAAGCTTCACTGTGGGGAAATAGGAAAATGGCTTACAATCCACAGTAATAGTAAGAAAATATACTATTATCAGCAAGTTAGCAGCAGAGCTGAGAGGGCATTATATATGCCTTCAACTGGTATCTGCTCTGTGCAAAGAAGTGGAGTCAGTGCAGCTAAGTGCTCCTGGAGTTCAAAGGAGGCACTTCAAAGTGTGCGCATTAATCCACTTTTAGTAGAATGGGAAAGAAAAAAAGCATATTTGGAGAATTCAATTTTGAAAACTTGAGAGGAGAAAAGAATTTGGAAATAAGGCTTTCTCTTTGATTTTGACAACAGTTCTTTTTAGTTGGGTGGGGAGTGGTTCTCCCTTTCAATTAGGCTAGCTTTTCTAACTTGGTGCCGCTATCTTCATTAATGTACTGGGTTTATAGCCAAAGGAAAGTCTAGGTCTGAAATCCCATTATCCAGCTGCTGAAAATCTAAAATTTTGCTCCATTAGTTCTTCCTTACAATCTAGTAAACCTTATTAGAGAACAAACTTAAAATAGTTTTGTCACCAGGATATTTTTAACAGAAGGTAGAAGAGTAGAAACAGATGCAAAAGCAGGGTGAGCTTTTTTGCTAGTATACCATTAAGGTGTGTTAAGGCCTCTTAGTGAAAATGTGCTAACAGAGCATTATTATTCGATATGTTTCTGACTAGCACTGAAGTTTCCAAACATGACCAAATTATTTTAAAAGGCTACAAAGAGATTTTTGGGTATCATAGTTCAACTGTAAGTTCATACTCTGTTTGGGAAAATGCTTAATAAAAATTTCATAACAAATGTATGGAATATAAATCCTACTCAAATTCATTGACATTTTCCTAATATTACAAATGCGTAATATCAGGTGCTGTTATACTTTAGCAACTCCAGAAACTAATAAATTGATCAAAACATACCCTAGGGATGAATTTACCAGTTTCTGAACAATTCTTCTCAGAAAATGCATAATCTTGGCTGTGTCTGTCCATTTGAAATGGAACTTAGATTATCACATTTTGGGATGAAATTAGCTTAATTCAAGGAGCTGTTCTAAATTGTTAATGCATATTTTTTTCCTTCACTGGACTTGTCAGTAAAGATCATATCACTTTTCATTTAATCCACTAATCAGATGCTGAAATACTACTTCATTATTAATTAATACTGACTAAGCCCTGATTATATATAAGGCATTAAACACTTCACACGTGTTTAATCTCAATGACTCTTCACCACAGTCTATGTCACAACCCTATACTGTTAAAAACCCTTAAAAGATGAACCAACAAACGTCCAGAGAGTTTCAGGAACTTGGCCAGTATAACCTTGGTAGTAACTAGCAGAGCCAGGATTGAACTCAGGTAGCCTGAGGCCAGAATCTATATTCTTAATCACTGAATATTATTACCTCTTATCATTTTAATATTAGTAAGGACTCAATAATTTTTAGCTACTTGCCAGCTTTGCTCTAAGCACTTTATACATAATAACTCATTTAGCATTCAAAAAAAAAAAAAAAAAAACTTCAGCACTCCTCTCAGAATAACTTTCTAACATTTTCTTTTTCACCTGTTTAAAACACATTTAAACCTCAGATGATCTGTTGGACTTGACTCGATTTCTTCTTCTCTTGAGATTCTATGATTTTTTGTACTCAGAGATTTATGGATTTCACATGCAGAGGTCTGGGTGGTATAATATGAGGGCAATAATATGATTTATCTTCTAAACTATAGTCCTTTTGTGAGTGAAAATAAACACCATTAATAACTACACTTGAGCCAATGTAAACTTGAGGAATGTGGTCACCCTATATACAACTTTTAAAAGTCGAGTTTTGTTTGCCTGTTGTTTATTTTTCTGTCTCAGAAATATATAGTCCTATGTAGTCAGTATTTTTATAGAATTAATTATATCAACATGTTTTGCAATTAAATTAATGAAAACAAAATTGAGCACCATCATTAGAGCCAGAAGTCTTAAGTTTTAATACCGCACAACTTTGAATTAGCTAATTGACTTTGGAAAGACAATTCACATTTCTTAATTCCTACTAGACTTAGATAGGTTTTCTCTAACTATTACAAGCTTCTTGTGATTAATAGATACGGAATTATACTACCAACTAGTTATGCTTATATATGCATGTTTGTATTTGTTTTTGTATATTTTTTAAGAAAGCATTAAGTAACTGTAAGGATAAAAAAAATAATACTGGTGATTGAAGGGATCTATTATATTTTTTAACCCATTTAGACCTTTTAAGTTTTAATTTTTAGGAAGTGAAAAAACCTAAACTTTCTAGATGTTTGGTATATCTGTTCCATATTCTTAACTGAATATTGTTGTTGTTGTTGTTATGTGCCGTCGAGTCAAACCCGACTCATAGCGACCCCTCCTTGGGTTTCTGAGGTAGTATCACTACGGAAGTAGGATTGCCCAACCTTCCTTCCGAGGAGTGGCTGGTGGGTTTGAACCGCCAGCCGTCTGGTTAGCAGGCAAGTGTCTTAGCCACTATGCTACCAGAGCTCCCAACTGAATATTAGGACTAAAGATTTTTTTATTATTATTTATTTTTAAGCACAAGAGTAATAATCTGCAGACTTGAAAATAATATTTACTTTTCTTTTTTTTTCCTTTTAGTTATCTCATGCGGAATCTTGTCCTTTCCCCCAAATGGTAACAAGATTGGAACATTGACAGTTTATGGAGCCACAGCCATATTTACATGTAACACGGGTTACACACTTGTGGGCTCTCACGTCAGAGAATGTTTAGCAAATGGACTCTGGAGTGGTACCGAAACACGATGTCTGGGTAAATTCCTTTATATTCTAGCAATTATTTAATTCAAATAGGCCTTAAAAATAAATTATGGCTGGGTAAAACAAAAGGCTTCTTGCTATAACTACTCTAAGAATGTGTTACTAAATTCTATCTGGAGTTTTAATGTTGCACTTCACAATATGACATTCTCTTTGAATATCCAAAGACATTTTTATTTGAGCAATAAATGAAAGTATATTACCATAAATGACAAAAAGACTATTTCATAGACTACTAAGGATATAACTATATTCAAAATACCATCATGCTTTTATTACACACAAGAATAAATTTTATATACACTGTTCACTTTGATATCCATTTTCAAATGTTACCATTATTTCAAAAAATTATAGTGAAATTAATATAAATTAATATTAACACAATGAATTATTTTAAATTGAATGTGTCTGTAGTAATTTGGTTTTCTTTTCTCCAAAGAGCAAAAAAGTTGTTTTCAAAATAGGATTGTAAAATATTTATTGAAAGTTTTTTTTTTTCATTCGTAAATGTTCTCAATAAATGTGTAAAAAATGTTGAGTAAGAATGTTAAAGCATAATTATTTACAAAAAGTGGTCCTTTCAGGTTTTCGAGTAAATTTTGAAATACATGAACTGCATGAGCTGTGTTGAGCATGAGAGTTTTGCTGAACTCTCTCTTTCATCCAATAATTTGTTATCCCTCAAAATCCATAAAAGTTGGGGACTTTAAGTTGCAGAATCTCCATGAGCTAAGATCCCATGAGGAACTTCAGGGACTCATAGTGACCCCTCCTTGGGGGTCAGAGGCGGTATATCTAAGGAAGTAGATTGCCCAATCTTCCTTCTGAGGAGTAGCTGGTGAGTTTGAACCTTCTGGTTAGCAGTCAAATGCCTTAGGCACTGTGGTAGTTCCGTTTGTGTGTCAACTTAGCTGGGCCTGGTTGAATGGCTGGGCAGCTGGATGTAGTATTCCCCATGATGAGACTGATATTAACTCCATAGTGGAATCTACTGTGAGCAGCTGAATAGCTGCCTTAGGGAAGGTGATCTGCTTCCTGTATATAAGCAGAAGCCTTGGGGAATGGTCTCTAGCATATGGCACGCTTGGACCCTGAATGTAACCGTGTCATTATTCCACAGCCTGCCATGCTCTGCCGACCTTGGGACTTATAATGAACTTGAATTAATGGCCTGCCGTGTGGTTTATTAACATCGGAAATGTGCTATTTTATTTGTTGACCTTGGGCTTGTTTTCCTCAGCAGCCACTAGCTGCCTGAGTGAAGAGATGCCTCTAGCTTTAGTGGGCCAGGAACAGGAGGCAGAGCTGGACCCTAAGGTTGAGGGGCTTTCACCCAGCCCCTAGAGCCTGGCACTTTGAATTTGGACTTAAAGCCTCCAAATTGTGAGAAAATAAACTCCTGTTTGTTAAGGCCATCCCATTTGTGGTATATTCTTGTCAGAGCAGCACTAGGTAACCAGAACAATCACTATTCCACCAGAGCTCCCTCAGAAACTAAGTTAGCACATTAAAAACCTGCTGATATTTTCATTTAGGAGACATTGAAGAGAGAGGATGAAAGTAAAGTGGTAACTCCATTTATCTGTTAAACTGTATCCACTTTAAATTCACATAATATTTATATGAATGCTTCTTACATGCTTAAATATATATCTTGTTGAGTGCAGTCATTATAGTTTTCATTAAATTAAGTAATTTCCTTGAAGTATATGTGGTACTTCAGGTTGAAGGTAACAAATGCTTCTTAGGTTTACTATGCATTCCTTTCTGTTCTTTCAAAATGGCATGGATATTGAGTAATACACTCCCTAAATCATCTATGATTTGATGTAAGATGTATCTGGCAACTTCAGTGAAACTGGGCATGTTGGAATGGGGCCAGATTATTCAACAAACATATCTATGACAATAATTGTAATGATGGCAAGTAACAAAAAATTGTAATTGATCACTGCTGTACTCCTTACTAAACATGCCCTATATCTTAACTTGTTGTTGTTGTTATGTGCTGTCAAGTTGGACCCAACTCATAGCGATTTCTGAGGCAGTATCACTAAGGAAGTAGATTGCCCAACCTTCCTTCCGAGGAGTAGCTCGGGGATTTGAACCGCCAGCCTTCTGGTTAGCAGTCAAGTGCCTTAGGCACTATGCTACCAGAACTCCTACTGTATTGTGAGTAATATATAACCCTTTCTGTTGTTAAGCTACTAAGAGGATGTTGGTTACCACAGCACAGCCCAACCGACCCGGACCAATACAAAGTATATTCATATATTATCTTTACTAGATATTGTCAATATGCAGAATATGTGGGCTCTTATATTTCTACATTATCACTAGAAGTTGGAATCATCAGACTTTTTTTTTAGTTTTGCCAGTCTAAGAGTATGGAGTAATACGTCACTGTTGTTTGAACTTGCATTGCTTTCATCAATGAATGAGATTAATAATCATGCTATATTTATTGCTATTCAAGTTTCTTTTTTGTATCATTTACCTATTTTTCCATTGTTTTTTTATCCTTTTCCTATTGGTTCTTGTAAGTCATTTGTCATTTTTATGAGTTAAAGGTTAGTGGTTAAAAGCATTGCAGTCCTGGAACTGGATGCTGGTTCTACCACATATTTACCATGTTACATTAGGCTGGTTATTATCTTATCTTAAAATTCAGTTAGTTGACTATTAAAGTGACTGTGGGATGTAGATAAGGCAGTTGTTCAAGCCTCAAGGAGTTTAAGTAGTGCATTGAGTTCATTTAATTGTTAAATCACAGAGTCAGCTTGAGTCTTATTGATACCAAAAACCCTTACTTATTTGTGGTATTCTTTCAGTTGAAAGTTAGGAATTTGAAGGACAAAAATGATATGTGTATTTAATGATGGGTTGGACAAAAGTGCCCCAAACATATAGCCTTGATATAATGACATCTTAGAAACTTTTGGAAAGTGATTCATTCAGAAATGAATCTATCTGATCAGAAGGAATTTAAGCTGAAACCAACAAGGAGTAAAAATACTCAGATTATCCTGAATAAAACATTATAATTATAGAATTCAAGTACAATGTATAAGAAAGAAAAAAGGAGGAGACACAGAAAAAGAATAATATTTAGAAAAGGGTTATAAATTATACATATCCACATATGTCTACAAACCAATGAGTAAATAATGGGTAATAAATTTAGTGTGAAGGTTTTAAAAATTATTACATATCATTCAGATTATAGATTATAGATTACTGGTGAGCAGACTGCATAGTGTAACCTAGCAAGAAAGTATGTCCACAAGAATTCATAAAGTTGTATATGAGACATAGAAGAGAATATGGGGCGAAGAGTAAGTAGGTAGGAGAATAGAAGTTATATCATCACTAGAAAAGAATATAAAATAATCAGATAGATGAAAGGAATAAAAGCTTCAATCATAAATCAAGCACAGATATTTGATTGAGTAGAAGTAATTTAAATATTAATTAGTTGCCTTAACTTAAAAACTACAGGCATTTTTTGAGATTTATCCCATTGAATTCTCATTAGAACTCATCATAAGTGCTTCTTATTCCTATTTGTGGATAAGAAAAAGGCTTCGAGGACTGAGAAATCTTCCTAACATCATAAAACAAATAAATATCAGGAGGATTTGTCCAATACCCTAAAACCAATGAATAGCAGAAATAGTATTTAAACCTAGGCTATTTGACTACAGAATGAACACTTCTAAATACTAGGATATATTACTAGTTTTTCTGAGTATTTTTGTACTGCTTTACCAACATTTATATCTCTCAGAAGGAAGGTATGAGAGACAATTGTATTATCATGCTAAATCTGATCAATAATGGAGAACTTATTGGTTATCTAGAAATGAAATGAATCCACATAACTAGACAACTCCCCACCCTAAGACATACTTTTTGAAAGAATATTTGACTTGGCATGCATGCCTTAGTTCAGTATGGCCAATATTTGTCCCCCATTCTGTACTGCTCCTAGGCTTCTAGCTTGCTAATTGTGGTATTATTTTCCTTCCCTTTCTTGTCACTTGAATCAATGATTTGTCTGTCTCCATGGTTATAAAACTCTTGAAAATCACTCTAGGTTTCTACAAAGGTAAATGATCGTGCATAACCTTAAGACTTATTTGGACCATGTAACTGTAACATAGATACTCACAGAGAAAATGACTACTAATAACCATTTAGACGACTGCTGGAAATACTTTTTTTAAATAAGAAAAAACAATTAGTATGACCTCTTAAAAATAACAAAACAAAAAATACTATAAATTTTCAAAACAAATAACCTCAGTGAGGTAGAAATGGCAAATTATTCCCCAAAATAGTAATAGTTTCACCAGATGTGCAATAATAAATTCAGAATTAAAAAGATATGTACAAAAACAGCAAACCAAGCACATACCCTAGGACATACTTAAGGAAATTAAATACGGTTTTAAAGACAGTGTTATAAAGACTAAATTTTACAATGAGCTGAGGACAATTAAAAGTATACCAAAAGCAAACAAACTCACTGCCAATTGAGTCAATTCCAGCTCACAACTATCTCCATTAGATTTCTGAGCAGTAAATCTTTACAGAAGTGATTGCCCCATCTTCCTTTCTCAGAGATGCTGGTAGGTTTGAACCACCCACTTTCTGGTTAGTAGTCAAATGCCATAGGCACTCTGGCACCAGAGCTCCTTAATGAAAAGTATAGAGACAACAAAATGCTATTTAAATTATGAACCAAATTTTCGGCTTGGAGTTGTTATTAAAATAATGGATGACAGAAACAATGAAAACTGACTCAGCTGCTTCTTTGCTTCTGTATTTCCTGTCAAGAAAAATTATTACGGCAATAGAAAGGATAGAACATATTTTACATTAAAAAATGGCACCCAAAGAAAGATAAACAGTCTACAAAAGAGAACTCCAGAGTGTTAAATAAAGTCAAGTTTGCTGCCCAGAAAAGTTCTATTCGAGCGTGTCAAG